TGGTTGGCTCAGGCGGGCTTGATCCTGGATTTGACCCACTGAGCATGCGCGTGGTATGCTGCGCCAGGCACATGGTATACGCTCCGTTTTTACTGAGTAACATTTTACGTCAAAAATTATATTATTGTTGTAGGTTTTTTGGGATATTTTATGTTGTAGAAAATGAGTGAAGCTCACCGAAAACACCTCGCATTTCTCTGGTATCACAGTGATATTCTTCGCATTCAGCACAATACTTCTGGTTGGTTCCATCACCACCATGGAGATTTCCACTTGTCCATCAAAGGTGAGATTCTTCTCTGGCGGAAAATCCACGTAATTGGGCAGATACGTTTTGATGCTCAAGTCGTATAGCACTGAAATAATGAAAATAACTAATATATATAGCATACAATTCAGCCTGGAATTCACTTTATTTGTGAGGCACTCCTTGACCAGTTTTGGCGTTTTCAGAGGTGTGTAGAAGTTGGACCAAAAAGGGGACATTTTTACATTGAACGCGCCAATGAATTCATTTGTATACGGCGATTTCAAGAGAGAAATTATAGATTTCCAAAATGGAATTTGCATTTTCGAAGTGGGTAGGGCAGCCACAGGGTACGATAAAAAAAGAATGATGCGCATTTATTGCTTTTTTCAGAAGGCGCTACGCTTATCGCTTTCACTCGAAGGCGTAGTGGAATCCAGAAAGTATTTAGTTTGCAATGGGTCGGCGATGTGCGAATCAACGTTACTCCTATCATCTTAGACTAATCCGCTTAAAATTGATCCCCACTTGAGGAATAGGAGCCCTTGGTTAGCTTGATTAAGATTCAACCCATTTGGCTTCCGAGCCGTATGTGACCGCACCATCTAAGCTCTCAAGGCAAGTGAGGAATACCGAAACGTTCTTCTGAAACGCCTCTGTTTTTAGATTAAGCAGCAACATTTTACAGCAGGCTCTCAGAAATTAGTGGTAATAGAAACCAGTTAAAGTAAAGGGATCGGCTAAAATTGCTCGTCTCCACGTTTTTAGAGCAGTTCAGGGCCCAAGGTGGGCCAGTTCTTGGCTCTCCTTTTCTATACCGTAAAGTAACAAAAAATAAGATAGAAAATCTTTTTGTGAGATCTCTTTGCTCAGGTGTGATTGAGCTGGTGGATATTCGATCTCCTAGAGCTACCTACTGCTTCTACGCAAAACAACAGTAAATATACAGCAAGGCATACTTACGCGGACTAGCTTCGGGTAAGTAAAGCCTTAGGCCGATGTCAGACTTTGCGAATCGCTAGCGTCTGCGGTCGCGTCGCGGCCAGTGAATCACTCAATTGGCTGGTACCGCAACGCGACCGCGGACGCTAGCGAATCGCGCGATTCGCAAAGTCTGACATCGGCCTTACCTACGCACAACGTGGCCTCTGAAAGCGCCTCCGCTACTGGCTCTGTGAAACATCAAGGATACACAGGAGCACTACAGTACTTACACGGTATTACGCTTTTCGGAAGACGTAGTTCTTCTGCAGAAGGAGAATTGTCATGACCTCCAGGGTGATCCCTGAAAGAAATCGATAAGGAACTTCAAGTATTTTTTGATTTTCCGGGAATTTTCTCGGGTTACTTCGAAAGACTTACTTTCCATTGTGTGAGGTGTCATAAGCATTTCGCACGAAGTGATAAGTGAGACCTATGGAGAGAGCGATTGCTAGAGCCATTGCTAATGAAGCGATGAGAAGGCTGATGGGCGTAAACCGTAACACTGTCCTTTTAGCCCATTGTGCTGTCATCTAAATGATCGTATAAGATGTGGTCAAAGTACGATTAAAAACGATAAATTATCGAGTGAGCGATAGAACGGACACGAATCCGAAAAGCTTGTGACTCCTCGCGTAAATATGAGCCAGAAGAATGGTCCCTGAACAATCAGACGGTTCATGGCGAAAAAATATTGGAACGTTCAACATCAAATATGTTAGTGAGGAAAAAATGGATGTGAAGAAGGACGATTAAGTATGTGAAAAGTGTAGGAATGAACTCTGTAGCAGAACACGATCAATACGACACATTAACAAACATAGCGGAGAGCTGGTGGTCGAGCTAGAAAAAACCTCTTGCACTCATGAAGATGAAAGCGCACGGCACATCTGGAGATGGTGAATAATGGCATAATATGCTGTTTCGGCAGTTCAATAAGCCCCTAACCTCCTCACTACTCCCACATCCGCTTGACGCCATATTTGAGGGGATTTCGAGGGGCAGGTGAGTGGTTGTTAGCAGGTTTACATACCATAAACACATAAACGCTAACGCTACACAGGCGACGTCTTCAACCATGGGAGGGTGGAGGAGGTGTGGGCCGGGGAAGGGGAGATCCTACTGACCAAAATTCCCTCTACAAATGGCTTATCCTACCTCCAACCCCTCGTTCACATCGCAGACAGTGGGTCGCTGCCATTTTGGATACAGTGGTGGTTAGTATAGGCGGTAATGGTACCCTGAAGGTCTATGACAGTATCCGTTCTCTGAGTTCAGGAGAGTAGGACGACTCAACGGCAGAATAAGTGCTAATGATATCAGCACGAGACAAACCAGTTCCAGGGTTGAGCCTAATCACGTGAACGTACTGCGAGGGATAGCTGCGAGATCCTCCGATGGAGGTAGTAGGTTCTATTCAAGTAATATGTAGACAGGGTGGCACTGTGGAAATGTAGTAATGCACTAATAGAGATAAAGCAGCAACGCAACATAAAAAATGTTGTGTGGGCACTCGTGAAATGGCTGATAAGAGAGTAAAAAGATTTAACAATCTAAGCAAAGCACAAATTTGAAAAATATAGAAAAAGAGGGCTGAAAAACCGGCGGCGTAAAATACAAACGGCGTAAAATACGAAACAGAATTCAACAATATCAAAAAGGTCAGAGGAATGGGATAGATAGTACGGCAATTAGCATACCCGTGATAATGTTGAAGAAGGATGTGTCATCGAATAAAACCTCCAATAGGAAATTAGGAGGGATGAAGCGTGTGTTTGTTTTACACGAGTTGACATAGAATTGACATAGAGCAATAGAAAAAGTGGAGATAAACGTGATCATAGATGAATACGAATCTGCATCAGTTTTTTAATTTCGATTGAATCCAAAACTTAATAAAGGATAAAGGATAAAGCATTTGCCGTTGATCAATCCCTTTTTGGGATGCGGCACGCATTCTACTTCCATTTGTACATTCGTAGTGGCGTTTGAATGCGATGTGGCCTATACAATGACTTGCGGGGGCCAGCCGATGTACAAGTCAGTGTTTTTATCCTCCCAGACAAGTCTGGTACCAATTAACCGACCCCGGAGGGATGGAAGGCTTGGTTGGCCCGGGCGACTCACGACCCAGGATTTGATCCCGGACCGCTCGCGTGGTAAGCGCGCCACTTGTCACTACACCACTTCCGCCCCTTATTATACTTCAGGAAAAAAAAGTCCCCTATACAATTCCACCTCAGAATGAAACCGCTTGGGAGAGTGAGCGCTGACAGTATGGAGCAAATTTGAAATTAAAATTGGAAAGCCATTTATTTTGCAAAAAAAGTCGCTGTGAACAAAAATGTGTGCGTCTTCCCGCAAAAGCATAGAAGCGGGCACACTATGAGAGTTATGTGGGGCAATTCAAATTTTATGCAAAAGAAAATAGTGGCTTGAAGGAAGGAAAGAATGTTGAGAGCACTGGTTGGTAAAGAAAATCATTTGACACAAAAAATTATCTTATATTACGTCCACCTGTAATTTAGTGTCGACAAGGAGAACGTACATATTGTCTTGTGTTTACAATCTATTCCAGGATGGTATTGACTTTCGGAGGCCAAAAAAAGTAGACCGAAGCACGCATGGACCGTCCTCAGCCTAGCGAACTTTTAGAAATCCACTGCGAAATCCGTTAACACCTGATGTTTTGCATCATTTTTTGAACATATTCCGGGTCTTTTATGCCGACTTCATTCAACTGGCCTATAAACATGAAAGGGGAATCAGCTTCCGTAAGCATCTGCCGAACCACTTATGAGACGAGTAAAGTGGTTGTGACTAATATGGGCTCGTGGGTTCATAACCGTCTGTAGAATTTTGTAGACCTAACTGCTTGACATCCCTCCTTGAGCTACAGCTTTGTAATTCGAAATCAATAGCTAAAGATTTGCAATCACGAACACCTAGTTTGACCTTGTAGCAGACTTAAAGGCACCGTTTGCGATCAAATTATGTGGCTTATTTTGCTCGGAAACGAAAGTGCAGATGCGAGGAGGACGCAGGGGAGAAAAAATGCAAAAGAAACGATCAAAAAACATATTGAAGCTTTTTTGTAAGGGAATGCGGACTCAGGAGCACGACGTACAAGAGAAGAAGAGAGAGGAAGAACAGACATGCCGTTCTTGCACCGCACACGATATGAGCGAGCTAGACCAGTGGTAAGGCTTTAAACCTCTTACCGCGCAAATTTGAGCCGTAAGAATGACAGAACTTCTTCGCTTGCAGACTCTGCTACGGAATTCACATGAAAAACTGCTCCAATAAACTTTTGCGATGTGTGTCTTCAATTGAACATTGGCACGATTCAAGATAAAAAGGTGATTGTATGTGTACCATTCCGCTGCAATCTTGAATCGTGATCGTCAAGTTGGCCTAAAAAAATTTATGGGCTGATTTCCGCTTCGGAGGAAGGCGCGGCAAGAAAATTTGATTTGATTTTTTTGGCGGAATATTCAACATGACTTCTCCCTTCCCCTCAATGAACAAGGTATTCAATGCGAACGGTTGAAAGTGATTTACTTAGCACACTTTCTCCAAAAGTCCCAAGTGGGTTGCATGGGGAACGTTAGAATAGGGGGAGGAGGAAGATCGGATGACTCAATCCGATTCTCACTGAAAATTGCTGCTGGACTGATATGGTGACGCTTGCACTTTACCTTTACCACCATGGTTAACAACTTAACGAACGGAATGCTTAATGAATTTTTACGCTACCAAAACACAACCGACAAGTATTTTCCAACGTGGAACAAATTACTCGACTGTTAATAATAAGTACACTTGAATTCCTCTTAAGCTGCACTGTCATGAAGCATGAGGCCGATGTTAAACTTTGCGAATCGAGCGATCCGCTGTTGCGTTGCGGTACCGGAGCCAAGAAAGCGATTTGCTGCTGACCGCGACGCTACCGCGGACGTTAAGCTGGTGTCAGAGTCCGCGATTCGTCGCGCGATTCTTGACGAAGCGGGACAAATGTAGAAAGTTGCCAATATGCCCGTTCAAGCCTTTGAATCACTAAATATGAAATACTTAGAATTATAAACTGTCTTCATTCAACTACCATTGCAGTATTGACCGGGGCGCTTGTGATTTCTGTGAACCGTCTCGCCGGTTCTGTTGTCAGACTCCGCAAATCGCGGACGGGACGCTGGAAAGTTTGACACCACCTTAGCGAGTCGTTTGTTTCCGGTAGTTCCAGATCGCTTAGTGAGGGCGGTTGCAGTCGGTGAGGCCACACGTCTGCCTGACATTTCCACTTCGACGCTAGGCCATTTGCACGTTTATTTTGTTTGCTTATTAAATATCGGATCTTACTGTCCTTATGAATTTTTATTTATTTTTTTGGACTTTTGATTCGTGATTAAATAAAAGTCAAATAATCAACACTCTTGTCAAAAAGGTTTTATTTTCCGTGAACGGGGAGAGAGGACATTATTAAGGAATCATGCACAGTGTCGCTATCATTGTCCATTCGATTCAGCTGCATATTGACATCTCCAAAATCGTGGTTTGAGTCGTTCAACTGGCCCGTTGTTGGTCCGGTGGGTACCTTGGTGCCTGGCGATACCAAACTTAGTAGCGAACAAACTGGCTGTGCAGATTACCTTCGTCGACATCGGATTTTTCATAATATTAAGCCATTAGGGCGGAAGTGGTGTAGTGACAAGTGGCGCGCTTACCACGCGAGCGGTCCGGGGATCAAATCCTGGGTCGTGAGTCGCCCGGGCCAACCAAGCCTTCCATCCCTCCGGGGTCGGTTAATTGGTACCAGACTTGTCTGGGAGGATAAAAACACTGACTTGTACATCGGCTGGCCCCCGCAAGTCATTGTATAGGCCACATCGCATTCAAACGCCACTGCGAATGTACAAATGGAAGTAGAATGCGTGCCGCATCCCAAAAAGGGATTGATCAACGGCAAATGCTTTATCCTTTTATCCTTCCTTATTTCCAATTAGTAATTTTTTATAATGTATGCTGAAAAAAATTGTGAAAAGAGTTGTCCAAGGCTGGCCAGGGTTAACTTCCATATATCATAAAACCCCCGAATTACGGCAAGGGGGGTACAGCCGTAAAGTGAACGTATACCGAAACTTTTGCAGTGTGTGAGAAAGTACTTTGAGATACCGCTACTGTTTATTCAATAGGCTGAGAAAAAACACACTGGTATCAACTCCCGTAAATTCCAACGGAAAACTACAGTCGCGCAAACATTACGTTGGCAAAACCAAGCGCGGAAGGATGACAGGTCCAACCGGCCACATGCAATGAAGTATACGCCTTGGAATGCTCTAGTAGATTTGACTTTACAAGCTTCCCATATTCTTACACAACCGATTGTCATGAACGGAGGTATGAGGCAAAATTAAGAAGCGTGGGGAGTGGCAGAGTCAACCCTGCGTTGCGCAGTTCGCAACGGCACGTTGAGAGATCCTCAACGCACGCTGTATGGGCGGAGACGCAGACGGCTCGAGCATGCGAGTGTGAATGTTCGCGCGAGAGAACGTGTCTAATCGGGCGAAACTGCGCAACGTGGCCGTTGAGAACTGCGCAACGCAGGGTTGACTCTGCTTGGTGGCCCTGGCACAGGCAGAGGTGCCATGAGTTCGACACTTCGGCGAATTTTTTCTTTTTTATTCTAGCGGCAATAGGAATAAATCGATTCCTAGCGTTTTTTCATAAAAGTTTGCGTTCGATTACTAGTACAAATAGTTTGCCAGCGGATCAGAAAAATAGGACGCCTAATTTTGCTCCTAGAACCGGACACATGGTCGCGATGGTGCAAATTATCGCCATGCTTCCAGACGCTTTTAAGGTATAAGAACGAGTGTAATAACATTGGCGTGTCAAAGTCGGAATGGAAGGGGATGGAATAGGAATTATGATTGTGTGATTCGCTTGAAGTGCAAAAGTTGGCTGTCAAAATGTGGGAATGGAGGCTATGCCCCCGATTTGAACGGGGAATCTTCTAATTTGAAGTATAAAATTAAGTAACACGTCACAAAATATAGTCGGAAGGAACGATGTAATTATGAATCTTTACCAGATCAAGAAGCCTAACATCAATTAAAGTTAGAAATAGTGAGAAGGACAATAAGAAATGGTAAAATGCAGAAAAAATAGTGGGATAGCAGAAAGTGAAAATTCAAATGAGCCACACGCCGAAAACTGCGACAAACAGCTGACAACAATCTCGTCGCTAGTGAATGCGTTGAAAAATTTCACCGGATGCGTAATCGCTGAGTTTAGAGGTTGAGTAGCATTTTGTGGGTTCTTCTTATACATCATGACTAGCGCCTATGCATTCCGAGTACCTTGAGATCTTGGTTCTACGTAATGAGACGGAGAATCAAAAGAAAGTTGCAGTTGTTCAGTGGACAGTATGATATCTACAGATGCGGGTCCGCTACACGGCTGCGGGCAAAGCCAGACGAAAATCGAATTCTTTCTAGACGCAGTTTCAGACATCCACAGTCGAAGAAATCCTGCTCGCAATGGAATGGATTTCTTTGTGGCTGGAAGATTTCTGTCTTGAGATAAGAAAAAAGGAGGTTCCAAATAATCAGCCAGATTACCCTTCCTAACTACTTTCGGTCCAAAAGAATGCAGAAAACATTGTTTGCATAAAACAATCGATCGCTTTATACAACTCAGGATTTTTGATCGGATAGTTTGAAAGCGCGGACTCCACTTCGGCTCAGTTTTCTTCTTCGCGGCATCACAATCAATTACAGCTACCGCCGGTCCATAGTTTTATGGCTCTGTTTAAATGGTGGTGTCATTCGTCGAAAAACTGACAGCTTCAAAGCAAATAAATTGCCTTGTTTGTGAGAAATTGCTGTTGTCGATCTGCGTATGTGTTGCGAATCTTTTGAAGTTTGAAATGGTGACGAGCAAAACTCAATTTAAACAAGATCACCACTTTGAACCAGGGTCAACCGTTACGTTGGACCGATTTGGACCGATGTTCACCGCTCTCCGCGCCGGCATTCACTCTCGCCACCCGCGAGCCGTCTGTGTCTCCGTGCGTACGTTCACTCTCGGCATTACTCTCGTCGTCGCGTTGGACTTTGTCCAACGGACGGTTGACCCTGCTTCGAACTAGGTTCAAGATTCGTACTATGGGCGGCGCGAAATCACACGATTCCGAAAATTTTTCGAGAATCCAGCGAGACGTCATCACAGAACACATACACAAACTACTTATAGTAACCGGGAACCTACCAATATGAAAGAAATATCTAGGAATAGTACTAAATGACTCATAGAAAATCTAGTCGAGCTTAGCACTCCATTGTGATCTCGATTAGGAGATCAAGAATGAAAATAAAAGCAGTGAGTGAGTTTCCACGCTCTACTGGCACTAACGATAAGTAACACTACATTTTGTAGAATCAATATTTTTGATAGTATCTAAATTAACCTTACAATGTGGAACAAACCACGAGACTTCATGAGAAACAACCTGATCCTGTTTGTACATAGGAGTTATTACCCGGCATTTTTGGAGAAGTATTTCGACAGCGTTTCGAAATGTTTCTCAATCCACTCGACTCTTTGTTCTGCTCTTTCTATTGCCTCATCAAATGCACGATATTGTCGAGCATGTTGGCCATTCTTTTGTAGATTCCACAGCTAAATACGACTTTATCTATCGTGATATTCCCTTCAGATTTATGGTTTGGTTTTGATGATAATGCTAGTAATTATAAGGTACGAGTCTCGCTACACTTTCAACAATCCTGCAACTGTGTTATTTTTGTCATTATTGAGCAGCATTCCTCGGAGCACTGTCGATTGTCCCGCTCGAGAAGTATGGGATGGCTGCTCTCTTAACGTTGCGCAAATGGACGAACTTGAAAATTTCGTTTTTGGATGCAGGGTCAACCCCCCCCCCCCTAAAGGAAGTAGTGGGGTAAAAAATGGATTGAAATCGCGGAAATAGAACATTTTTGGAGGAAAAAGTGGGCGGGGTTTTGATGGAAGATGGAGATGGTGGAGGTAGGGAAAAGGGGGTCGTATCAAATCCACCTTGGGGGAGGGGGGTCGTAAAAATTTTTCGAAAAGTAAGCAACGATAGGACCGACCCTGTTTGGATGTATGCTTATAAGTGTGTCCATTTGTCCAACGTCAGCACCCTCTGTACAAAACTCGGCATTATATAGCTCAGAAAGCAAGTATCGGGACGTGATTCGAACACCTGGACGACCGCCGGCCCGATGGTCAGACTTCTTCACGAAAGCTCTGAACGAAAGGAATGAAGGACTTCGTGTCCCTCGAGCGAGGAGGGTCCACTGGACAACTCTTGCACGCGACAGAATGGAGACGTTGCTGGCGCCCGCTCGAGCAATTCGAAGATCAACGGGACGACAGGTGATACTTTCTCTCACTGAATCTCAGACGAGATTGTTGACAAGCATCTTTGGGCTCATCTGGATCGCAAGCGATTC